ATTTAACATAAATCATCTTAAAATCAGTTAACAATTAGCTAAAAATTAATTAAGCAACTATTTATAAAATTGAAACTAATAAAACTCATTTTTTATTTATTTATTATTTATAATTTATTTTATTATTATATAATAAATTATTCAAAAAAAATATATTTAATTTTATAAAGGTAGAAAAATAAAGAAAGTAGTTAAAAAAAACTACTAAAATACTACCTTTAAAAGGCTTATCTTAATATATTTCTAAAGAAAGTAAATAAAAAATAAAGAAAACAGTTAAAAAAATCACTAAAAAATCACCTTCAATTTACTTATCCCTAAAGAAAGTAAAGAAAAAATAAGAAAATAGTTAAAAAAAAACACTAAAATACAACCTTCAAAAGGTTTACCTTAATGTATTCATAAAGAAAGTAAATAAAATATAAGAAAAACAGTTAGAAAATCGCCATAAACTATTTTTAATTTACTTACTTTTATGTATTCCTAAAGAAAGTAAAGAAAAAATAAAGAAAACAGGTAGAAAACTACTAAAATACCACTTCTAAAAGCTTACATTAATATATTTTTAAAGAAAGTAAATAAAAAAATAAAGAAAACAGTTAGAAAACCACTAAAATATCACTTTTGAAAGGCTTATCTTAATGTATTTTTAAAGAAATTAAATAAAAAATAAAGAAAACAATTAGAAAACCATTAAAATATCACCTTCAAAAGGCTTATCTTAGTTTTGAAAAGAGAATTTTTCTAAAAAAACAAAGAAAAATAAAAAAAAAAGGATTAAAAACTATTCAAAAGCCATCTTCAAAAGGCTTACCTTAGTTTCAAAAAAAGAATATCTTAAAAAAAAGAAAAACAAAGAAAAAAGATTAAAAATCATCTAAAAGTCATATCTGAAAGGCTTATCTTAGTTTAAAAGAAAATTTCTATAAAAAAAACAAAGAAAAAAGAGTTAAAACCATTTAAAAGTTACTTTTGATTTGTTATCTTAATTTTAAAATAAGAATTTCTTAAGAAAAAAGAAAGAAAAATACCTAAAAAGTCACTTCTAATTTGCTATCTTAATTTCAAAATAAGAATTTTCTAAAAAAAAAAGAAAAAATAGGAAAATGTTTAAATTTCTTTTCAAAATCACTTCACTAGAAAAAAGAAGAAATTTTTTTTCAAAATATTCTAAAAGTTTGTCAGTTTATATTGTAAACTGAACTAAAATTTCGATTAATCTGAAATTTAAATATTATTTATATGATTTATCATAAAATGTTTCAAATAAATGATTTTGCATCATCTGATTGCAAAATCATTTAAAAGGAATAATTATTTGATCATTCCTTAAGAATGATATAGAAAATCATTTTTTCAGAATGATAATTTAATTGTTTCTTAAAAGCAATATAGAAAATTGTTATAAAAGAATGATAGTTTGATTATTTCAAAAAAACAATATAAAAAATCATTTTTTTAGAATAATAATTTTCTAAAGGAATAAAAGTTTAATTATTTCTTAAGAATGATAATAAAATTGTTCTTTTAGAATAATAATTTTAATTAGTTCTTAAGAATAATATAGAAAATAAGAATAATATTGAAAATTATTCTTATAAACAATAATATATTATTCTAATAGAACAATATAAAAATCATTCTTTTAGAATGATAATTAAATTGTTTCAAAAGAATGATATCAAAAATCATTCTTAAAGAACAATAATGTATCATTCATTTAGAAATAATTTCTATTATCTCTTTGAAAATGATTGTTTGTTTCTTTAAGTATAATTATTCTTAGAAAGTTTTTATAATTTTCACAAAAATCAGCTTAACAAATTTTGACAAGTGAAATATAGTTGATTTGTTGCCAAATCTTGAGTCTAATTAAAATTTAGCCGAATATTATAACTGAAAAGTATTAATACTAAAATAATGCTAAATTATATATGGTATAACAAATAACTATTGATTTTATAACTCAAACTAAATATTTACTAAATCATATGACTGAATCAACTGTATGTTTGACAAAGGTTTTAATGTTAAAATAATGTTAAATTATATATAATATAACAAATTACTATTGATTTTGTAACTTAAGTCAAATTTTTTGAATCATATAACTGAATCAGCTAAATATTTATCAAAAAGTCTAATGTTGAAATAATGCTAAATTATGTGTGATGTAATAAATAACTATTGATTTTTATAACTTGAGCTGAATTTTTACCAAATCATATAACCAAATTAACTGAATGTTTAACAAAAGGTCTTAATACTAAAATAATACTAAATTATATGTGATATAATAAATTACTATCAATTTTTGGTAACTTAAACTGAATTTTTCTGAACCACATGACCAAATCAGTTGAATGTTTATCGAAAAGTATTAATACTAAAAGAAATAATTTTGATTAGTATATGTATATAATTTATAATATAATTATACTGGTTATCTACATATGTGCGAAAATATTTTGACTTGAATTTTAAACATTAATTAGAATATAAAATGAAGTAGTAAGTTTATTTTATGTTATGCAACTTAAACCATTATAATAATTTCAAATATATTGAAATAAATCACATTTTTCATATTATTGAGTTTATATAGTTTTATAAAGATTCTCACATTTTTAAATCAAATATAAAAAAAAATAGTTTTATGCAATACAATTCTGCTGAAAACCTTACATTTTTGAATAAAGACCATATTTTTAACAATTCTAGATCAAAACAAGATTACCTATTAAAGTGCAAGTAAAATCTAAGAGATATATGATGTTTTAGTTACCCTTTTAGAATGAACATACTCTAAAGAAGTCAAAGAAGTGGTGGTTATCTAAAAGGACTACTTGTATCACTTTAGATCTAAACTCATGAAGTGAATTTTTAAAAAAACATGAAATACAACTCATGGTATTTAATTCAGATGTTTATACCAATGATAACGAAACTAAAGAACCTGCAAAAGACCTACTTGCAATTATTATATTGTTTGTAGTATAATATAATAGATTATATTTAGCCACAAATCGCAAAAAGAGAAGAGAAACTACCAAAAAGATTCAAGAGTTCTAAGAAGAACATAAAGAAACTTCTAGCAGAAATTATATGACGTATTTACATTTATCCCAACTAGCAGAAGTATCTAAACTCAGAAAATAAATGAAAATAACATGATAGATATACAATTAGTATCTTATCACAGTCAAAAAAGAAGGTATTAAATAAGAAAAAAACTTTAATAATATAAAACTCTAATAGATTCTTAAAACTTCTTATGACATTCATAATAAAGTAGTGATAAAAGACTTGCTTAGAGAATATTCTTTTAATTTTGCTACTAATCATAAAAAATTTAAGATGAAGTTCTATTTCAAAAAGGATTCTTAATAATCTATCAAAAAGCATTAGGATAAATCTTATAATAAATATTCATTTCTTCTTAAAATCAAGTTATCAGTATCTTTTTAAGAAAAACTTGAATATGATAGCTACTTTATTATAAATCAGCATGATAAATATTATCCTTATATATTCAGATCACTTGAAATACAAGCTAAAAATTAAGATCCTATATTTCAAAAGGTTTTTATCTTTATTTATATTATTTATTAAATTAAAACATCAATTAATTATATATTTAATAATTTAATAGAAAAGATCAAAAGTGATTTTTCTGTATTCAGGTATATGTACATTCATGGCTGATTATGATCCAAGTAGAATAGCAACAAAAATGATATTGACTGAATTTATAGATTATATCATACATATGACAAACTCTAAAACAAGTATGATCAAATTCATGGAAAAAAATAGGCAAAAATATTATAGATTATTAATTATTTAATTATTATTTACTATCTGAGTTTTGCACTCAAAAAATAATTTGACATAAATAATAATATATTGACTCTAAGACTGCTTGAGCTATATATATATAATCATATTTTCACTTTTGATAGTATTTGATTCACAAGTCATATGAGTATTTATAGTATCAAGTTATAATTAGTACAGAAAAATACACAAGCAAAACTTGCAGATTTTGTGGCTATGTTCATAAAAAACTAGGCAAATCCAAGGAATTTTGCTTTTCATAATTTAAAATAAATCTTAATAAAGATATAAATAATGATAGTAATATTCTCTTACAATATCTTACAAAAAAGAAAAAGAGTTAGCTTAGGTTAACACAAAAGCTTATTCTTTTACAGAACTTGTTATTGCTTAATTTTAATTTTACTTAATATGGGGTTTTGTTAGCAATGATAGGTTTTAATATAAACATAGTAAATATAATAGAATTTCCTAAAAAGTGTAATATAATGATCATTTTTTATATTATACTTATTGTAAATCTATTGAAAAATCATTTCATATTGTGTGGTTTTTTTTAAGCTTGATCATATAAAACTTTACATATATTGAAATATATCTTTCTTCATTTAAATAACTTTAGTAATCCAATTCGATCAGTTTGTTTTTATAAGTAACTTAAATATTATTTGTTATTAAGCTTATAACTATAAATTTGTATGTAAAAAAAAGTTATTTATGAAAAATTTTATTTTTATTTTTTTACATTACCAATTACAAACATTTACTAATTTAATTCTCTTTTCATGACTAAATCTATCAATACTTCTTCATTCACTTCTTCTATTCCATCATTTTCTTCTTGTGTTTCTTTTTCTTCATTTAATCCTTTATTCTCTTTAATGAATAAAATAGAACTTTTTTTCAACCTTTATAAAAGGATTTAACATTTATTATAATACCTTTTTATAATAATCTTTATAATATTTATAACAATATTTCAAATATCTAAAGATTTCTAATAATAAATATATCTACAAATTAATACTTTTCTATTATATATAGAATTATCTGCAATAAGTAGTTGGTTACATAGATCACAATTATTAGGTAAAGGAGAATGTGTTGTATTAAATTCAATTAGTAAGCATTAGATATTAACAAAAATATCAAGAGCAATTAATTTATAAAGGGGTATTGTTTCTGCATAGTAAGATAATTTTATTCTTATATAATAAATACTTTTTAAAAATAAAGAAGAAGAAATAGTAATATTTTTTGATAAAATAATCTAAAGTTAAAAGTGTATATAGATATCTTTTTATCTTAAAAAGTTATCTTTAAGTATTTGTATTTTATTGTTATCTAAAAAAAAATAGTTAATAATTTAATCTTTTTTAATTAATTAGATATGTATTTTTACCTATAATATAAGCTTAAGTGATAATACTTTCTATATTATCATATGTGTTTGTATTTGCTTTAATTTTACTATGCAGATTTTTAACAAAGTAATCATTAGAATTTATAAGGGATAGTTTTAATGCTTTTGTTATTAGGTGTTTATTATCTTTCTAGTAAAAATAATCAGATAAAAATACTAATGATACTTTATTATAATTTTTTCTTCTCCAATGCAATACAAATGTTTAGAAGTGAAAAATTGTTTCAATATATTCATCAAATAATCTAGAGAGAAATAATAAAACATAAATATCAAGTTCTATATAGATAATATTATCCAGCCAGTTTATTAATGTTATATATTCTATATCTTTACATGTATACTTAAATTTTTGCATAATTATTTTTGATATATATTTCATGTATTACTTGTCAATTATAATAGTAAATTTATTCTCTATGGTTTAAGTTTTTATGAAAAATTGTTTTTTTGTATCAAATACAAAGTAAAAAAGATTTTGAAAGAAGTTATGATATAATATAACTGCTTTTTTATGAAAATTCAAAGATATATGAAGTGGTCTAAAAATAGGGATAAAGTTATGTATATATGAAGGAATATTAGATTGATTTCCTTGTAAATGAAGATGTGTAATTGCTATACATATGAAAAGTTATCAGACCAATCTGTAATAACTGATGTAATATTTAATAACAAATATTCTTTTAATGATGGAATATTAGCAATTGTTTATATATTTTTAAGATAATTTGCAAGTGAATATAAATTCATATTTTGAAATGAAACCATTTGAATTTTTTTATAAATCTCTCCTCTTTTCTTTCTTGAATTGCATCATTATATATATGAATAGTAAGTTGATCAATATAACCAAATTGGTTTAGATTTATTTTTTTTGTTTAATCCATTGATTTTTTCTAATATTATAGCTTATATCAAAAATTCTACTATAATGTGATTCTAAATATCAAGAAAGATTATCAGAATCAATATTTTTTGGAATAGGTATACAATATCTACTAATTTAGAAAGACATGTCACGAATATTTATCATTAGTGGTAATTGAAATTACTTTGGAAAAAAGATCTTAATAAAACAAATTCAATTTTAAATTTTTTTTTAATGTAATTTAATTTTATTTAATAAATTTTTATTAAAACCAATTAAAAAGTTTACTTATTTTATGTGATATAATAATACATAGAATAATAATCTTTATATTTTTAATGTTGATGATTATCATGCAATTCACTCTATTACTTACATAAACAGTAAAATATTCATTAATCTTGTTAGGGTGATTAATTAATATTTCCTGTCTAAACTTGTCAACGGTTTTAACGCATACGCAGAGACCCATTAATGATATAGTTTCAATACCTTTCTAAATAAAGTCCAATTTCAAGTTTTAAATTACTAGCAAACTTGTTATCTAATCCAGCAAGAAGATAGCAAAATCCAACAGTTGCTTTCGCGCGTTTTTTGCAATCTTGTTTTAGGATTTAATGCATTTACAAATTCTTTAAAAAATCCTTGTAGATTGGTTCCTTTCCTCAATTAAATCACAAAATTTATCTGGAACTTATTCTATGGGAAGCCTTTGTTTTCTTTGCATGTTATAAAGAACTTTTGTCAAAAGTTTTAATTTTTCTTCAAAAGCTAGTAAAATATTATTAGATATAAATTTAAATTAAATAAAAATTTATTAATTATTGATATTACCTTTGTTTATTTGATTATTATTCATTAAATCTAAGTTAATGTTTGCATTTGTGTTGGAGATTGGTAAGTCTTTTTTTAAAGGTATACTTGTATTTCCTAACACTACGCAACCAATAATTTTGATTTACTATAATTTTGGCTAGAATTATCACTCGAGCGATTAAGTTAGTTATGTCACATGATAAAATTGCAAATTTTATTTTTAACGTTTTTTCTTATTCAAAAAAAAACGAATTTGCTTCAAATCTCGGTCACTAATCACTTTTATATTGTTGAAAAGTTGGAAATTATAATTATCACAATGTAATACGTAAGTCATATTTTACAGATAGAGTAAACCACACTTAAAACGTAATAATTATTTGCGCAAAGAATAATCTCAAAAAATGAAAAATTTTTAGAATTTGTAAGTGCATTATTTATTAATGGAGAGGGGTTTTTTAAAAATATTTACTAAATAATCTAGTTAATAAAATAAACGAGTTACAATTAGGTAGTAACATATCTCATTTTAATTTCATTGCATATCAATATATCTAACACGCAATATATGTCACCACCTTAATATCTTGGATTATTATAATTATGATTATTTGAATTATACACTTGGTTGTATCCTTGATTATAACCGCCTTGGGCGAAATTATTGTTATTATTATGATTATAATTTTCTTGTCTGCGAAGTGAAGAGGTATCACTAAAATTATCTACACTTCGTTGATGTAGCAAAGGTAATGTGGATGAATTATTATTATTATTATGTTGAGAATACATCGTTCCTTGCTGCTGATAATTAATATTATGAGGGGGTGATCTAAGATGATTCACATGCTGTAATTCAATAAGTTCTGACGGTGGGTTACGAGGTGGATATTGTTGTTGTTGGTATTTTTGTGGAAAATTCATGGTTGTGGGGGTAGGGGGACCAGAATTATGATATGTGGTACCAGAATAAACACTTGTGGTATCATTATAATCTACGTAATAACCAGGTCTTTGTTCTTCGTGGTAAGCTTGTTCATCCCAATCCAATTCTTGTTCTTCGACCGTTTGAATGTTGATATTTTGATTATGATCACTTTTGATCATTGACATACATTTAATCATACCGCTTCTCCTAACTTTGGTCTCGTCAATCCTACCATTATATACCTTCCTTAACAAGTGTTTGACATTTGAATGTACCATTGGGGTGATTAGCTCGGCCGAGAACGCCGGATGTCCAAATCTATTGCTAATGTTATCATTATGATGGGCGTTATTAAAGGAACCATTATGATGTTCGGTCTTTGGTTTGTAATAACGAATTTGTTCGTCAAATCTTTTGGAACATATTATCTTGATCAATATCGCGATCAAAGGTAATGGAAATAATGCTAGGGATTGCATATGAGCTCCTTTCAAATTCATGACTCCGATCATTATTGATTGCCAAAAGATCAATGAAAAGATGAGCCTGTTGAATACCACCCTCCAAAATGTTCCTCCCGTCTCAATTTTTGTCGTAAACACGTACCTAGGAATAAGAAAAAATATACATATATTTCTCTTTAGTAAATACAGCATGTCCCCTCGCTTGAATCTTAAAAGATGTACTCACATTAATTGATATCTATACACCAGAGAAGCCAAACTGAAATACGCGAAGCAAAAAAATAAGATTAAAGGAGCTATGACGCTGTATAAAATCCCAACAGTGAAAAAGAATAAATGAATATTATAATAAACGGGATAATCAAAATCTGGGGGTCTACTAAATTCTTTAAGATTCCTTGGAGTAGGTCGAACAAATAATTTTTTAACGTAAGTTATTATTAAAGAAATTATTTGTGCCAAATCGAATATGGCCCCAACCCCTCTTAGACTGATATAATTTATCCAAAATGTCGAAACCTTGATTAATGAATCTGCCAATTGATCTAAAAATTCCGCTTCTTTAATTACTTTATAGAAATCTTTAAAATTAGTATTGCCCGCATCTATCGTGGCTTTGACTTTAGCGTATAAATCTAATGCTGTAGAAGACACTGTATATATGATGATACTATTGATAATAAAGAATAGGTACAACTTGGATAATACCGATCTATCCAATGATGATTTTGTTAATTTTCCTTGATACTTTGATAATAACCTCAGTAGTTTAGGAAGGACAACAAAAAACGCTGCCATGATTAATGGACTCATCCAAGCTTCGATTAATCCTGTTATGAAATCATATGAATAAAGAAACTTTTTGGTAAATGGTGCTATTTCAACTATATTTTGAAGTTGCGCTACAGATGATAATACAGTCAAAGGCCCCAACCAAGAAAAACATAACAAAATAAATATTCCATATCCAGTCAATCTTTTTGTCTTTCTGACAGCGCTCGTCATCGTTAAATTACGCCAAAGGATATCTTTTGGCCATGGTGCTAGCATTATTTCGGGTTCTCCTATATGAACTTTACCTTCTAATTTTTTGGCCACTGAATGCGCGTCGGCAATATTAGTAAATGAGATAAATCCATAACTAATTGCCTTCTTTTCTTTAATGATTTCTCTCTCATGATTAATTTCTTCTTCATATCTTTGTATCTGTGCTGTATAATAATTTATACTATCAACTTTCTCTCCACTACAGCCTCCACCTATCGTATGTTTGGGCCTTTTGCTTGAAATACTATTTGGATTATTTAAATATCTTGTTAATACTGATTCAAGCTTTCTAACAGATTGATCATGTTCCTTGATTAATTCGGGTAATCTACCAACTTTCCTTGATATGTGAGCTTGTGTTATCGGTTGTTTAATTTTTAACATTTCCTTGATATACTTATGTAATCCTTCATCCGATTGCATGTGTGTTGGTACCCCCGTGATCAACAAAGTTCTTGAATGTAATGAACTTTGATATTCTTCTGATCGAAAATAATCTTTTTTTAATTTTGTATATTCTTTGTATTGGACATATAAGAACCGAAATATTAATAATGAAAATATCCACGTAAATGCCACATGTGCCCAAAACCAATGTTTCTATAATATTTAAAAGGGAAAATATTTTTAATTAGTTAATTTTTTTTTTTTTTTTTTTAATAAAGAAAAAAATTTTGATTTGTTTACCTTTCTTAAATATGATATACTAAGATATTTTAATGGATTATCGGTTGCGGGAAATCCTTTACGATCTTGAATTGTACCAAATATATTTGTAGCGATAACTGCCAATCCGATTATAAACAACCAACAGAACATGTTTCTACACATCTTAATAAACCTTAAAAACATTACGGCGTCTAATCCAATTTTTTCTATTAGTTCATCATCTGTTGATGACATTACCGGCCTAACCCATGAAAATAATCCGTGGTTCTCGATCTTTGGTGGTTGCTTCCTAAAAAAAAAAAGAAAAATGTTTACGTCAAATTAACCGAATCGATAATTAAATCAATTGTTATAAATTCGGGGCTTACTTTTCTGACGAATATTTTTGTTTAGGCGCATAAACAACTAAAAGGTCAAATTGATTTCAAAGTTAAGTTTGTAATTGATTTCGTAAATTTTTGAATTCAAATATTGTCCCGCAGATTTGTCACTTACCTCCATTCCTAGGTCTCAGGAACCCGAATATTACGAGAGTGCCGGCGCCCAGGGCTAAATTGATGGCCAATTGTGAACACATACCTTTAATGCTTATGCTGGCCTTTTGCTCTTCTGGTGTTATATAACTCATTTTTAATAATTTTCAAAGGAAGGAGAAGGATAAAAAAAAAAAATATACAATATACAACGTGCTACAAAACAATTGTTTAATGTGAACTTCGTAAATAAATGAATGATTAAAAGTAAATTGGTCGGTGAGACCAATTTTCGGATTAAAGGAATTGGTTCGATAAAAGATTTTTGAAGGTTGGGACACGACTTATGTAAAAAACCAATTATAATACAATGAATAATTTATATTAATGTATGTATTATAAAATGGTTTCTACAGTTTTTGGAGGTACCAGCCCTTCAAAAATTAAAAAAATTAGAAGGTAAAGTTGCAATTAGAGGGGGATGATGCGCAGAGAAGAGGTAGTTAAGGAAGTAAGGAGGGGTGATGTAAAGGGAAGGAAAAAAAAAAGAGTTGTGATTTTTCCTATAATGATAAAGAGAGAGAAGGGTTTTTTTTTCCGATAATTAAAAAAACGGTTAATAAAACCTAAAAAAGGTGACCAATTAAAAACTTGTTTTAGTAATAAATGCTAATTCCGCACTAATTGGGAAGTGGCTGAAATGTTTCACGTTTATGAGATCAAACAAATTAGAAAAATGATCATATTCTTGATTTGAATTGTGTTACTCGAACAAAAGCCACATAATCATGTATTACTGTTTTAAAAATACATAATTTTGTATTTCAGTAAATTGTTCTTAGGATACAAAATCTTTAGAAAATAATTCTTTCGTCTATAAATAAACATTTGATGAACGAAAAGGTTATAACTAATTCATTTAATGATGTGTCAGAAAATTGCATTTTTGGGGTATGATAGTAAATTCAACATTTAGTAAGAACAGTTGATCAATGACTAATAGAATTATCATACTGTTTGCAATTTTGTAATTAAATAAGTACAAGGCCAAAGAATATTTATTTTTTCCCAAAAAAATAATTCTAAAACTAGGGTAAAGCGGTTTCAACATTTTAAGTTTAGGTATCGAAAACCGTCATAACAATTTGTCAAAACGAAAATAAAATATTTATATTTCTTTTATAATTAATAAGCTATCAATAAAAGCAAAACAATATAGTGATTAAACGAGAGAAATCATCGATATTGAATACAATTTCTTCATTACCAGGATTAAATTCATTCCTTGAGACACTTGTATCAAGCTGTAAATGAAATTCATTTTTTAATATTTCGATGATGAATCATTTTGACGATGCAGTGTCAGTGATTAACCTTTAAATTTGACTGATAGCATCATTTACAAAAGTTTTTTGTCTTTCAAGACTTAAATATACAACAAAAGCACATACAAGGAAATTGTTATTTTTTAATTGTCACAATTTTCAATCTAATTATGTATAAACACCAGTAAAAAACGAAACACTACTATTATATAGATTTAATTGTTATTGGTTACACCATTGATTTTAATTATCGTTGCACATTTAACGTCCTGCATAATTTTGGTTCATATAAAAACCCCATTGCTTTTTTTGATTAACAATTTTTTTGCTTCTATCTTTTCTATCTTAATGTTTGGAAATAAAAATTGATATTTACAATAAAATAATCAAGATATAAAATTGAATTTTAATAAACTTTCTTCAATCATTATTATTATCCTACAAATACGATTGTAACAAGATCATTAAAATGGTTTTTTTTTTTTCAAACATTGCCGAATATCTGCTATGCTAACAATATGATCACTTTGTTCAAACTTCTTATAACTCAAGGATTGTGACACCCGTGATTTTGACTTTCAAAAATTTAAGTTACATTCTGTAATTGGATCTGGTGCATTTTCTTCGGTTTATGCTGCATGCTTGAAAGATACTCCATCAAAATTTGCAATTAAAAAATTCGCCGAAGGTTATAAGGAAGAAATCATTCTAAATGAGGTTTGTTTGTTAATTTTCTTGTATAGTTTTTTTTATAGAAATCTTTTATATACTTATTTAGATAAATTGATATTTTATAGATTCGTTTAATGAAATTAGTTGATTATCATCCAAATATAATTAGATTTTGTGGAGTCACGAAATTTGAAGGTAAAATAATAATTATACAATTAATTTATTTTAATTTATTGTAGTTCATAATTTTCATTTAAATTCTTTATAGATGAAAAAAATTATTCGCTCATTCTTGAATATGCAAATGGTGGAACATTAGGAAAATATTTACAAGATAATGCTCAAACTTTCAAATGTAAATGTGAAAGTCAATTGATATTTGCTCATGATATTGCAAGCGCTATATTATGTTTACATGATAATAATATTATTCATCGAGATCTTGTAGGTTTAATAATTAATTATTATCAAAGTTTTATTATGTAATTTTAATATATTATATATAATTAATATAATTTATATATTTTTTTTATTTTAGCATCCCGACAACATCTTAATTCATCAAGGGACAATAAAATTAGCAGGTTTTGGGTGTTCGCGCCTGCAAGGATCAAATCTCTATACCAAAGTGTCACGTGGTGTAATCCCTTATATGGATCCTAAATTTTTGGAAAATCATTCGTATGATTTAACCAAAAAATCCGATATATATAGCTTGGGAGTATTGTTCTGGGAATTAACAAGTTGTTCATCACCTTTCAATTTTGAAAAAACAGGCGATACTTCAATTCAATTTGAAATTCTTAAAGGTGTAAGAGAAATACCTATTCCAACCACAAATGGTAGATTTGTTAAGCTTTATCAAAGTAAGTTTAATTTTTATTTCGTTAATAATATATTCTTTTATTATATTCTAACCTTAATCATTTGTCATTAAATAGAATGTTGGCAACCTGAACCAAATGAAAGACCTGAGATTAATCAAGTAATTTCGGAACTTAATAATATTAATCATTTTTATTCTAAAGAATCGAAGTTAGAAAGTGAAGGATGTGAAAGAAGAATTAAAAAGTGAAGAATATGAAAAAACAGAAGAATTGGAAAAATGAAGAAATTGTAAACAGATAGAATTATTAAATATGATGATCACTTTGCAGATTATGATATAACTAGAAATGACAAATTTAAAATCTTAATTTCTTCAGAAAATTTCAACATTGGCAAAGGTTTAAAAAAATAAATAAATAAAATTTAATTCTTTCATTGTTCGTGTATTTCATTCTGATCGAAACTTTTTAAATTTAAAGTTTAGTGATAAAATTATTTTAAAATTACGTAGAAAAAATAAAATACACTTTAACTTAAATGACAAACCCGTGACATTTTTTTTTTTTTTTTTTCTTTTGTGATAATAAATTTATGAAAGTGAAAAATACAACATAAAAAACATTTGTTTCATTTAATCATAAACTTCATGAAAATTAAAATACCTGCCCATTATAAATCCAATTTTGAATTTCAAAAAAAAAATAATTAGAAAGGATATGGAGTCCCATATAATGAAACGTAAATGTATCACGTTGGGGTGTTCAGTCAACTAATTAAATCAAAACTATAGTTTGATTTAATTAGTTGACTGAACACCCAATATCACGTATTAAATTATTGGTTGTACAGTTGTACTTACACTTTGAAACGATAAAAAATGGCCGCAAATGTACAATGATGACATTGCATGCAATTATGCGCCTTCCTATGGAAAAAGAAAAACCGAAATTTATATAAAAATCCGCAAAAAATTGTTGCTAACGGTTTGGCCTTTGAATAATCGAAAAATCAAGACGAATTAAAAATGGGGTTTTTTTTTCCGATCGGCAATTCATTAAATGCACACCACTAATGTGTGACAGGTTACACCGATTATATGGCTTAAAGTATGTGGCGTATTTTTTCAAAAAAAAGCGTTTAAGTTAAATTATACTGCAAAAACCCAACCCGCCGCTCTAAGTAAACTTGCAGAACGAGCAAAAATACATTTAAGTATATAATTTTTAAGTCTAAATCTAAGTTTATTAAGGTTTGGTTTAAAGTTGTCTGTGGCACATGTGTCGATCATTTGTCGATCATGTCCAAAAATGTAATTTAAAGTATTATATATCTGGCGTAACCTGTCACACATTAGTGTTATGCCAATTAAATAATGGTTATGCCGATCGGATAATGTTGTGCAACCAATTGATCAATTGTTCCCTTTATAACAGCTGCGCCTCGAAGATTGTGACACCCGTAAATTTGACTTTCAAAATTTTAACGTCAAGAAACATTTTTTAATTGGTTCTGGTGCATTTGCTTCGGTTTATTATGCATACTGGAAAGGAACACAAACAAAATTTGCAATTAAAAAATTCGCCGAAGGTTCTACGAAAGAAATCATTCTAAATGAGGTTTGTTTTTAATTTCTTGTGTAGTTTTTTTTTGTAGAAACTTTTGGTATACTTATTTAAATAAATTGATACTTTATAGATTCGTTGTATGAAATTAGTTAATTATCATCCAAATATAATTGGATTTTGTGGAGTTACGAGATTTGAAGGTAAAATAATAATTGAACATTTAATTTATTTAAATAATTTATTTTCATTTTTTTCATTTAAATTCTTTAGATGAAAAAAATTATTCGCTTGTTCTTGAATATGCAAATGGTGGAACCTTAGGAAAATATTTGAAAGACAATGCTGAAACTTTCAAATGTAATTGGGAAAATCAATTGACATTTGCTCAAGAAATTGCAAGTGTTATTTCATGTTTGCAAGATAATAAGATCATTCATCGAGATCTTGTAGGTTTAATCAATTAATTATTATTGTGTATAATTTAATTATTATAATTAATACAAATTTTTTTTTTATCAAAGCATCACAATAATATCTTAATTCATCGAGGAGAAATAAAATTAACAGATTTTGGGTGTTCGCGTCTGCAAGGATCAGATTCCTATACCAAAGAACCACGTGGTGTAATCCCTTATATGGATCCTAAATTTTTGGAAAATCATTCGTATGATTTAACCGAAAAATCCGATATATATAGCTTGGGAGTATTGTTCTGGGAATTAACAAGTTGTTCATCACCTTTCAATTTTGAAACAACAGACGATACTTCTATTCAATTTGAAATTCTTAAAGGTGTAAGAGAAATACCTATTCCAACCACAAATGGTAGATTTGTTAAGCTTTATCAAAGTAAATATAATTTTTATTTCGTTAAAATATATTTCTTTTTATTTATTCTAATCTTATCTAATCTTAATCATTTATCATTTATTTAAATAGAATGTTGCCAACATGAACCAAATGAAAGACCCGAGATCAATCAAGTAATTTCGGAACTTAATAGTATTTCTCATTCCGAAGAAAGTGTAAGAATTGAAGAACTAGGAAATGATGAATGTTTAAGAACAGAAGAATTGAAAAATGAAGAAACTAAAAAATCAGTTGTAGGTTGTGATTTAGCTACATATGACAAAATTTAAATGGCTTAAATTTTCTTCTTTTTATTCAGAAAGTTGGTATAGATCCAGCGTGGCAAGGTTTCAAAAAAAAATAAAATAAAATCAAAAAAAAAAATATTAAAATTTACTTCATCGTTCAATGTATTCTCTGTGCTACGTTATGAATGATACTTTATAATCTAATGCGAATTTGGTTAGCGCATAATTTGTCCATTTATTTCGTGTAATATTTGATTTTGCTTTTTTTCGGTTTTGCGACGAAACTTTTTCTTTTTCTTTTTCTTTTTCTTTTTCTTTCTTTCTTTCTTTCCTTTTTTTTTTTTAGTTATTTATCGCCATAAAGGTATTTTACAAAACCCAATTTATATTTGTTTTATTTCAACGACATGAAATAAAATTATCCATCTAACGGTCGTTGATATTTTTATCTTTCTTGCCGGCCGGTTAATCTTGCCCAAATTCGCTTGCTACATACTTTTATAGAGATCTGTAATGAATTAACTTTAACGCTTGAACTTACTGCTACACTGGAGCCAACATTAGTACTTGTATCAATGCTAGTGCTTGAATCATTATTAATTAGACTAACGTCAGATCTTGAGCTCATAATACTAATATTTGAAGGTGGAGGTGTTAAATAGCCAGGAATGCTTATTGGTTGAGTTCCTGAAATTAAAGATCGTTAAATAATTAGCGAAAAAAAAATTATAAACAAGTACATCGTGATTTATTTTTTACCTCTTTGTACTAATACATCATCATTATTTACTAATAATAACTTCTCCAATACATCATAAACATATTCAACTTTATGTCTCCTTTCGGGTCTATCATCCCAACATTCGTTATACAATTCATAATACTCGTTAGGAGTGTCTGGCATTCTCTCCTCTCTGTTTCCCGATAATATTGTTGTAACTATTGTGTAATCTACTTGAGTTTTAAAAGGAGGCTTACCACTTGATAATTCCCAAAGTAAAACTCCCAAACTATAAATGTCCGAATATTTTGTGTAGGGTTTCTTTCTTAAAACTTCAGGAGCAATATATGAAATGTTACCAAATATGTGATCATGTATTTTGGTCATGGTATTCATGCTCTTGGAATTACCGAAATCTGTAATTTTTGCTTTTCCCTGATGTATTACTATGTTTCTGGCATGCTGTAAAAAATGATAAAATTAATAAATCTTTTTATGATTTGAGATTATTGATTATTTACATTACTTACAAGATCTCTATGTAGGATGTTTTCTTTATGCAAATAATGTAATCCATTTGTAATATCCAAAGCCAATCGAAATTTTTTGTTCCAGTCGAGTTTTTCGAAATTATTTGAAAGATATAAACTTAAATCTCCTTCATTAGCATATTCCATAACGATAGAATATTCATTATTTAAATCTAAAAAGACATAAAATTTCAGATTATATAAAATAAAAAAAATATTATATATCAAAGACTCACTTTTACTTATTCCTAAAACTCGAATAATATTTTCACAATCATGAGCTCTACTTTGTATCTGTAATTCATGTTTAAACGCTTCCCATATCTTAAATTGAATATCCGATGAAATGAGTAATTTTTTATAAACCACATAATTATGAATATTTGGCCAAAATGCTTTAAATACTGTTCCAAAATTTCCTGCTCCAACCCTTTCATGAAATTTCAATTCAGACCATCCTATTGATTTAATAACTCTCTGTTTAATAGCACCTTCAATCCATTTTATTGCTTTATCTTCTAAATCATCAACAGATTTAATATTGTCGATTAATATACTTTGGAATCAAACTTTGAGAAAATCCATTTTGATGGTAGTTGGAAACCAATTTATCAAGATCTAAGAGAACGGACTGAAGGTTTGAACGTTCTTGTGGATTATGATGCCAAGCTAAAGAGAAACATTATAATTAAATCAAATTTTTTATTAAAAGATTTAATAAAAATAATACTTACTATTTTTAATGATTTTAAAATAACTTTCCTGAAGTTTTTCTTCATTATTTAATTTAATGTTTAAGTTTTCCCTATGATTATTTAAAACGTGATTTTTTATCCTTTGTACGTCCCAACCCTTATATGGAATGATTTCGAAAGCAAGCTCCCATAATAACATTCCAAAACTATAAATTGAAAAATTATTTTGACATTAAAAAAAATTATAAATTCATATAGGTAAATCGAAAATTCTTAAAAGTACCTAAACATTTCACATTTTTCATTATATCGGGAATTTAGAATTTTTTCAGGAGCCATCCAATTAATAATATCGTCCACATTTGACACAGATTCATAATATTCATTATTTATTTTATTTTTATCAATCGCATATCTAAAATTTGTAATTTTAGGTTCCAAATGTGGTGTCATCATAATGTTTGCACAACGGATGTCATGATGAAGGATCAAACAGGAGTTCAAGAAAGAGATACCACGACAGATACCAAAAGCAATAGACACCTTATGAAATAAGTTTTAATTTTTTTTTTTTTTTTTTGGAGTGATATTATTATTAATTACTTTAATTTACCTTTGAGGACCAAGAAATATCGAATATATTATAAACTTCGAGAAGGTTTCCTAATTCAGCCCATTCAAAAATCATGAATAATTGATTACCAAAACGAGAGAGCCCATAAAATTTCAAGATGTTGGAAGAATCTCGAAGTTTTTCCAAAATAGTTAGTTGATCTTGAATCTTTGAGAAATTATCATCGGGTATTGTAATAGGAATACAAGCAACGTCTATACTATATTTTAAGCATTTTTTCACAATACTCCCACGACAATCATGTGTTTTTCCGAAAGGATCCGTAAGCTCATGTGGTTGTATTGTGGTTACTTCGGTATTGTAGAGACCATTATTATTTCGAGTATCACCTCGATGAGGTGTTTGAAGTGGAGTTGATTGGATATAGCGACGCTTTTGGGAGCGGCGCAAGGTGTTGAAAATACCGTGGGCAAAGCAAACGTTTAAATGAAAGTTTCTTTTTTGGGATCGGTGGAAGCGGTCGATAATATAATGGTGGGTATAATCGTTGCGGTTCGGAAGACATTGGTTGAATACACTTTTTGGGAGGAGGTATTATATAAATGGGATTGTAGTATATGGTGATAACAGTTTATATTTTAAAGATCCTTCTTTGAAGAGATTTTTATTAGGGAGAGTGGATGAATCATCAAGATTTGAGGAAGAATGAAAGATATTGAACGATTATATTTACTTTTTATTTTTTTGATAACTAATTAAAACTACCAAAACGAATTACAAAGCAATTAATATACGAGGTTATACGATGATGATTGTGAATTTTCCATATTTGGGATATTTGGGACAATAATAGTTACCTAACTTCTTTTTTAAAAATTCTTTATAGAAAATTCTTATTCCGGAAAGACTTTTCAATTAATTTTGGCAGACGTTATAAATTTATAAATATTCAGCCGGCATTAATCTCATTAAAATTAGGTTTTATTCTGCAATTCATTAATAAAAAAATGCACTTGATATGGTTTGTATACTCTGAACGATGAATCTCTGCGGTGACAAAAAGTAATTTCTACATACTGTGCATTAATTAAAGGATTTGTTTTGTTACATTCCGCGCTTTTATTAAAATTTTAATCTAAATAAAGCATACATATTTACACAAATGATTATCCTTTGAATTTGAATAGTGTCTAAAAACTTAAAAACATTTTTGGTAAATCAGGGTTGGAAATGTATCTTACATCTGTTAACCATTGAATAAATTCATTAGTTAATTAAAACTTTAGAAAAAAAATTTCATCAATTTCTTTTATTCTCATCGGAAAAAAGTTTGAAATCTTGACGGTAATTTTCAGGATGACAGAATAATTTCACGACCAACAATATACAGTATATACGTTGTTAAAATAGAGCAATTATATCCAATAATTAACAAATTGTGGGTTAAATTTCAAAGCGAAAAGTACAATTGTAACGGTAAAGGCAGTTTGAAAACCGAAAACTATAAAGTTACTTTATTAATATCAAAAGTCAAGAAGACATAAAGCCATAAAGATGGAAGTTGAATTTACAATTATAAACATCACTATTCCGTTTTGGAAATAAAATAATGATCAATTAAGCAGATCATTCTTATTGTATTACTTTTCAGTGATCAATAAGAGTAACTGAACAAGACGACGATCACCAATGTTTATTTACTACAATCTTTTTAGAAGTAATGAAATACTGGTACAAGTATCTCACATAAATTAATAAAGAAAAAAAAATCAAGCGCCAAGGCCTATTCCATTTGTTGGCTTTATCCTTCTTTGTCGTAAATAAGTATTTCTATTCTGCAATCGAATGGCGATGTCGAACTGTCCTTGTTATTTATAGGTCATGCAATCTATTAAAAGGCCACTTTATTAACTTTTTCTAGTGAAATAAATTCTCTCACGAGGAACTAAACCAAAATTATTGTCAAGAGCGGTTCTAATAATTTTCGATGATAATTCAAATCTGGTTCGGGTAAATTATCAAAAATGGTTATAGAGCCTTGAAATTGGTTTATTTTGAAGATTGTGTTACTTTTTTTACGCTCGATTCAAGTTTTTTTTAAAAAAATTCCTTTTCTCATAATTCAATAGTTTCGTTGTCAATCACAATAATAAACTTTTGTTTCTCTCTATGGTTACTGAATAACATATAATAAATTCAATTGATGTACAAACGAAACTCTACTCTTCCTATGCTACCCTATAAAGTCTAGTAAAAATTAATTGTCCATTAAATGTGTGTTCCTTGAAGATATATATATATATATATATATATTTTGAGATGACTCATTATTGTGCATCTATTAGGACCTCAACGGCTGATATTGTCGAAGCATGACGTTGTAATTACGTATTCTCATCCAATCATCGGTCACTCAATAAAAGAGTTATTGGGCAGGGCTATATCAGCCGATAGGCTGATATTTAACCGCCCCTGCCCAATAACTAAATAATATCTGAGAAGTCATAATGAGTGTGGTATCTCTTCACTAAAACACAAATTGAACGAATTGAACCAGCGTTAACAGCATTTACTAATATCGGCAATGATCCGCATGCTCCAGTTATCTAAACATAAATTATTTACTTTGTTAATATTCTGTTTTGATGTTGTTAGTGATAGTCTATGACGCACGATACTGCGTCAATTATAGATAGTGATATCGCCAATCTTTCAATTGGTAAACGTTCTCATATTCGAAGTAGCGATACTATTGGCCACAAATGTACCGTACAACTATTTATTTAATTATTTAACTTATTTAATAAATCGAAAACGGTTTCATCATATGGCATCCATATCCAATTATTTTTGTTTGCGTAGAATTAATTATTTTGAAAAGTCCAAATTTGGGTTTTGATGAATTATTCTGATCATTTCTGAAACATTTCTCTATGTAACTTATTTTTAATTTCTTGAAGTTCATGAAGTTTATGATTACATGAAACAAATTTTTTTATGTTGTTTTTATAATTTGACATAAGTTAAAATTTTTAAAAAGAATGTCGCCTAGTTTTTGTCATTGGAATTAAAAGGATTATATTATTTTTTTTCTATCTCGATAACGAAGGTTTTAAATAATTTTATAACACTAAACTTCAAATTTGAAAGTTTTGTTCAGAATGAAATACATAATCAATGAAAGAGTAAATTATATATATATATATTTTGTTTTTTATTTATTATTTTAAGAAAAAAAGTACTGAGAGAGACGAAAAATAGATATAACGTTGAATCTATACAAGAAATTTTCAAAAAAGAAAGAAAAAGGAAATTTTAAGCCATTTAAATTTTGTCATGTGTAGCTGTATCACAATCTTCAACTGATTTTTTAATTTCTTCATTTTTCAATTCTTCTGTTCTTAAACATTCATCATTTCCTGGTTCTTCAATTCTTACACTTTCTTCGGAATGAGTAATACTATTAAGTTCCGAAATTACTTGATTGATCTCGGGTCTTTCATTTGGTTCATGTTGCCAACATTCTATTTAAATAAATGATAAATGATTAAGATTAGAATAAATAAAAAGAAATATATTTTTAACAAAATAAAAATTTTACTAACTTTGGTAAAGCTTAACAAATCTATCATTTGTGGTTAAAATAGGTTTTTCTCTAATACGTTCAAGAATTTTCAACTGTATAGAAATACCGTCTGTTGTTTCAAAATTGAAAGGTGATGAACAACTTGTTAATTCCCAGAACAATACTCCCAAACTGTAAATGTCTGATTTTTCGGTTAAATCATACGAATGATTTTCCAAAAACTTTGGATCCATGTAAGGGATTACACCACGTGACGATTTGGTATAAAAATCTGATCCTCGCAGGACCGAATACCCAAAGTCTGCTAATTTTATTGTCTCTTGATGAATTAAGATATTATCGGGATGCTAAAATTAAATAAAATTATATTAAATATATATATATTAAAATAAAATTTATAATCAATCAATTAAACCTACAAGATCTCGATGAATAATTTTATTATCATGTAAGCATGATATAGCACTTGCAATATCGTGAGCAAATTTCAATTGACTTTCCCATTTACATTTGAAAGTTTTAGCGTTGTCTCGTAAATATTTTCTTAATGTTCCACCATTTGCATATTCAAGAACAAGCGAATAATTTTTTTCATCTAAACAATTTAAAATAAAAATTATGAAAATAAATTATTTAAATAAATTAAATGTTCAATTATTATTACCTTCAAATTTCGTGACTCCACAAAATCCAATTATATTTGGATGATAATCAATTAATTTCATTAAACGAATCTACAAAATATCAATTTAATTATGTTATCAAAAAAGTTTCTACAAAAAACTACACAAGAATTAACAAACAAACCTCATTTAAAATGATTCCCTCCGTAGAACCTTCGTCGAATTTTTTAATTGCAACTTTTGATTGAGTATGTTTCAAGCATGCAGCGTAAACCGAAGAAAATGCTCCATAACCAATTACAGAATGCATCTTAAAATTTTGAAAGTCAAAATCACGTGTGTCACAATCTTTGAGGCGCAGCTGTTATAAGGGAACAAACAATTGATCAATTGGGAGCTTTGCTATTAAAAATGGATTCCGGGGACTTTTAACAAAAAATGAGATTTTTGATTCATATTATAGTATAC